TAATAAACCTCTAATCTAATAAACCTCTAATCTTAATTCATGGTAAATGCTTTATCTGATTTCACAAAGTTTAGTAAATGTTTCATTGTTTCCATACTTCCTATAGTACATAATACAGGTAGCCCTTAACTTATGACCACACCAGAATTCTCATTGTTAATCAAGGCAGCTGTTAAGTGAGCCACATGCAATTTTATGACCTAATCACTGCAGTTGTTAAATGAATCACTGCAGTTGTTAAATGAATCAAGGGATGGTTAAACAAACTCCTGCTTCTCCCATTGATTTTGCTTGTCGGAAGCCATCTGGGAAATATGGGATCCCAGGATGCTGCAACCATTGTAAATACATATGTTGGAAGAAATGTCCTTCTGGGTTCAGTTCCAAGTGCGGAAAAGGACACTGGAAACATGGAGGCTGCTTGGAAAGATGGTTTAAAGGTGGACAGGATCACATGGCTTGAGCTCCTGAACAGAAAAGGGGGATCACACTCTTCAAGATGTTGGGTGAAGAAGAAAAAGGGTCGAGATGCTGTTTTATGCCCTCTCTGAGCTTTGAAACTGAGCTTCTATTCTGATTGGTTGTCAGACTCCCATGGGGGACTCCCATGGGGCCATGCAGGGCAACTCTGTAGGCTGTGCTTTGAGTCCAAGTTTAGTTGCCTTCCTTGCTGGCTGATGTAATTTTCCCAGGTTCCTTGTGGTGAATTTCTGTAGAAGGCCAATCCTACCTTTGTTATGTGGAATAGACTAACTCAGGCTTTAATGGTTCATTGACAAAGGTGGGGGCTATTAAGAGTGAGTCTGTTTTCTGCCAAAAACATGTTTCTCCATTTCACATCCAGGGAAATATAATATTCTGCCTTTTTGATATTTCCCAGGATATTTCAATTGTCTAGGAGAGGCGTGGGTTTTAACTTCCTACACATACCAATTGTCAAGTGCTTGAATTTTAATCATGTGATTGTGGGGAAGCTGTGACTGTCATAGGTGTGAGGACTGGTCATCATATGTTCAACCCCGTTGAAACTCCAAATAGTCACTGAACAAAGGTTTGTAAGATAAGGACTATCTGTAATGCATAATGACCCACATTATATTCTCTTTGGTGTATGATTTAACTGTGAACTCTTGCTGGCCTATTTGGAAGAAAGCCTCATTGCATTCAAAGATATTTACTTCCAGGAAAGCATGCAGATTACAACAGTGTCTTTTTTAACAACGGACTTAAATTTTGTGGCCCCACCCGGATTTAGCGTTTTGATTTCGCAACAAAATTAGCTTTACTGAATCATTGGTGAGCTGCATTCAGCCTAGAAAAGGTTACAAATTAAGTCCTAAGAGAATCAGAATCAAGCTGGAAGGGACCTTGGAGATCTTCTAGTCTAGCTCTCTGCTCAAGCAGGAGATCCTATACTATTTCAGACAAGTGACTCTCCAGTCTCTTTTTAAAAACCTCCAGTAAGGAAACACCCACACAACGTCTGAAGGCAAATTGTTCCACTGGTTAATTGTCCTCACTGTTAGGAAGTTTCTCCTCAATTCCAGGTTGCTTTTCCCTTTGATTAGTTTCCATCCCTTCTTTCTTGTCCTGCCCTCTGGTGCTTTGGAAAATAAACTGATCCCCTCCTCTTTGTGGCAGCCTCTCAAATGCTGGAAATACTACTGTCATGTCCCGCCAGTCATGCTTTTCTCTAGGCTAGCCAAATTCTGCAACCTTTCTTCATATGTTTTTGTTTCCAGGCCTTTAATCATCTTAGTTGATCTTCTTTGCACTTTTCCCAAAGTCTCAACACTTTTTTTTGTTAATGTGGTGGCCAAAAGTGAATGCAATATTCCAGATCTTACTAAGATCTTATTCCAGGTCTTACTAAGGCTTTATAAAGCGGTACTAATGCTTCACGTGATTTTGATTCTATGCCTCTGTTTATACAATTTTACTAGTGCTTATATATTACATTTTGATAAAAATATGTATTTTACAGCATTCTTGCAAAGATGATCTGGTAAGGTTTTTTTTTTTTAATAAACAGCCCAAACGTTTTACCATTCCTTTCTCCCGCACACCAAACAAAAAGTTAAACCAAGTCTTGGAATTTTCCAGGAGATCCTCCAGGTTACAATAGGGCAGTTCATAACGGAGTTTTAAATAGCGTGCGTTAAATCGCACTATTATAAACATAAGAAAAAAGGGACCTGCCTACATAATTTCTTAGCACAGAGTTTAAATATATTTTCTCTGATTGATGCAACCTGCTGCAACTATAGCCCCACCTCCTGTCAGGTTGCTTCGTTCCGATTAGTCGGAGAACCCGGGAAGGCGTGCCTCTGCGAAAGTGTTTCTCATTGGTCACGGGGAGGACCGCAGATTCGGATTGGCTTTGCGTTTCATCGCCGCGCTCACTGGCGTGGAGAAGCCCGTGCCCTACTGCGGGCGGAAGTTAGGCGTGATGGCAGGGGCAGGCGGCAGCATGGCGGCTGATGAATCGGACCCGCTGCGGCTCTTCGTGAGCATCGGGCTGAGCGAGAGCAAGGCTCGCGAGACCCTTCGGAACGAGGCGCTCACCGCGTTGCTCCGCGAGGCAGTCGTACAGGTCTCAGTAGCCGCCCTTCTTTTCGTCTGTAGCCCCTTCGCCGTTTCCCCAGCTGTCCCGGGGGTAGCCTTGCCACGTTTTCTGCCCCCCTTCCGGTAGTGACCCTGCCCTTTAAAGAAGAAACTAAAAGGGCGAAAAGCTTTCCCCGTCCTTCAGTTTCCAACTTAATGTTTCCAAAAATAATAAGAGGGCTGTTTCTGCTCATCAGAAAACTACTTTTTCTGTAAAACGAGGGAAACTCTGTCCCACGTTTCTCAACCACTTTTATGCTATTCATTCACTTCCAGATACTTGTCTCTCGCTTTCTTACTCAGCGTTTCAATGGGTCCTACCGAGCAATTCATAGTTGGGTTTATATAATGTACTAAGGCTAATAATCTGTCTAATGCCTTGTATGTGAGGCTAATGTGGTAATCATATTTTGTTTTAGATAGCCAGCCTTCTCACATATGTGACTCTCTGGCTGGGTAAAATAGAATAGATTAAAGACCATAAAATGTATAATTTTTTTTAAAGTAGCTATTTAACATGGGAGTCTAGCCCAACTGTGGTTTTATACCATGAGTGAGCAAAATGCAGCTTGGCGTATTGTGTGAACACACACTAGTATGGACCTCACCCCTTTCCTAAGAGGTCTGTAAGGGAGCGTGAATAAGCGCACCAGCGTGTCTACAGTCCCTGCCCTATTGTCCCATTTATTTGTACCCATTTCCTGTGTTCATGTCTATGTTTATACTTATACTGTTATCTCGTACATGTTTGAGATAAATAAAATAAAACTAAATAAAATATTTTGAACTAAATATAATATAATAAATAAATAACTGTGTTGATTTTAAACAAAAGGTATTGCACTGGATTTTAGGAAATCGTAAAGGAGGCTAGTCCACAGATACAGATTCTGCTTTTACAACATTGTGAAATTTGAGAGAGGTTTGTCAAATTTCAATTAGTCTGATAGTTTTCATACAAACCTATCGGTGGGTGTAAATTCCATTGGAAAAAAGAAACTGCTACTGTGTAGATAGGTACTTGGAAATCTGTTCCTCGCTTTTCCTAATATATTTTGCTGTCTATTTCTGTCTTGTTCTGGGTAGATTCTGCTCAGTTTATTCTTCCAGTGAATGTTGAAACTAGTTATACCTGTAATTTAAAACAATCCTAAAATGTGTCAGTGGGCTGGATTAGACTTAGTCATGTTGAGATCAATGGAACATGCTAATCATGCTGCCTAAACGTAAAATAATTTAAATAAGTATAATTAAGTTCCCATGTTATGTCTAAAACTTACTATACGTTGAGTAAGGAATTGGTTTTTTTGGCCCTACCGAGTACCATCATTCTACGGTAGGAACGCCAATGGTTAATGGAGGTGATTCTTAGGATGATAAACTGAAAGAGGCTCAGATATAAGATCCCCTGGAATCTTCATAGCGATAGATCAATGTCTCTTGTAGACTGCTTGCAAATTTTATTTGATTCCTGTCTTCTGTTCTAGTATAAATACAAATAGGAAAGATTTAGAAAAGGAAGAGATGTGGTGGCTCCGTGGCTAAAACACTGACCTTGTCGATCAGAAAGATCAGCAGTTCGGCGGTTTGAATCCCTAGTGCCGCATAATGGAGTGAGCTCCCATTACTTGTCCCAGCTTCTGCCAACCTAGCAGTTCGAAAGCACGTAAAAATGCAAGTAGAAAAAATAGGAACCATCTTTGGTGGGAAGGTAACAATATTCCGTGTGCCTTCGGCGTTTAGTCATGCCAGCCACATGACCATGTCTTCGGTCAGCGCTGGCTCTTCGGATTTGAAATGCAGATGAGTACCCCTAGAGCCGGGAACGACTAACACATATGTGTGAGGGGAACCTTTACCTTTACCTAAAGCTGCAATTTGTGATAATGTCTGAAGAAGTGCTAACTATGTTTAATTCACATTGAAGATGTTCACTGAATACCTATTTCAGTACTGACATTAGCCGAGTTCAAACATATTAAGGTAAACTCGTCCAAGTTTCAATACTGCTGTCATAAAAAACCCTGTTGAAATGTCTCTAAGGTATTAAAGCTCATATCTTAATGCAGACAATTACTGTATCTCCCAAACCATTTTTCTGCATTGGAATTTCCTTCCTTTGTGTATCTCTCTAGAAGTGAAAGTGTGACTCTACAGAGAATATAAATAGCAAATGAAAAAGAAACCAGGCTATTGTTTTTCAATGTATGTTTTGCTTTTGCTTTTTTTTTTGAAGAGGATGAAGTCATTGGGTGGGACAGATTTAACATGTATTCTTCTATTGTTAAGAAAGAGGCCTTTGGCATTATAATTCTCCCAAATCATGTGATTAGCCCAGCTTCATAATAGACAAATCTAAAAGTTGTCTTATAGATTTAAAGAATAACAACTGAATTTCCTGAGGTTCTTGTTTAGATAATAATAATAATCATCATCAACATCATCATCATCAGTTTGGACTTTATTTATATTCATACATGAAAATACAACAGCTAAAATGAATTAGAAGGACTCATTGACTTACCACCAATCATTTATCAACTATTTAAAGTTCCAATGGACTCTTCCCCAAAGATACTTAAAGTTGGGTTCAAAGTTCTGACAGCAATCTTCTCCCCCCCCCCTCGCCAAGGTCACATAGCGACATTTTGGACACTCAGCAAACAGCCTGCATTTATGGCCATTTGCAGCCTCCCATGGTCATATGACTGTGTTGTTGTTAGTTGCGAAGTCATGTCCGACCCATCAAGACCTCATGGACAACGTTCCTCCAGGCCTTCCTGTCCTCTACCATCCTCTGGAGTCCATTTAAGCTCACGCCAACTTCTTCAGTGACTCCATCCAGCCACCTCATTCTCTGTCGTCCCTTTCTTCTTTTGCCCTCAATCGTTCCCAGCATTAGGCTCTTCTCCAATGAGTGTGATTTACATCCTTTTTGCTAAAAACTGGAGTTTACTTCTGCTTTTCTGCAAGAAAGACCCCATAGAAAGCAGTGGGGTTTGCTTAATGAGGTCAGTGTTTGTTTTATAGCCACCCCAAAACAGGTTGTGAAATTGACCCACATTATGACCATAACAATTTGTGACTTTACGACATAACAATCTACGAACAAGAAGGCTCCATTACAGTTGTAAGTTGAAGCGTACCCGCATGAGTGCTAGTCATTAGATTGTTGGGTTGGAACAATTCTGTAATGTTCGTTCTCCAGTTGGAAAGATCAGGGTGGAAAATCTGTCTGGTTTTACCTGGTAGTGGCTTTCTGTTGCTTGAGAGAGAGAAGCTAGAAAAGGCTCTCAATTTTTAAGAGGCATCATCTCTTCCTAATATACACTCTTGCTGTTATCCTGACTTACAGTTTCCCCCTTTGACTCCTCTTACTCTTCAGGCACAAAGAATCCTGGGTCCAGTGATTGACAAGACAGTCGGCACCCTGTTGTACAATGTGGCTTCCCGGCTTAAGGACTCAAAGCGTCTTGGTGACCTTGTTGAGTACATTGCTACCAAAAAGATCATCACGGATCTGCAGCTCAATGGTACATATTTGGGAATTTCACAGGTTGGAGCCAAGAATCCCCCTGTTCTTTTTGATTACTGATGATTGGTTTTGGCCCCAAACGCCTTGTTGCATGTCCTCTTACACCACAGTGGACCGGATGAAATAAATGATCAGAGCTTGAGAAACAGGAAGCTTTTCCACTATAGGAACCTTTCTGCTCAAGGTTGTCTCTGTGGTAAGAGAGGCATTTAGGGTAGATGGAATATATCTAGATCGACACTTGTTCCTTGACAATTTGAATATACGAGACTAGCTGATAACCCGGTGTTTCCCGGATATTTATTTATCCCAATCCTATATTAGACAGGAAAAGGAATGAATTATAAGTGGCAACATAATTGTGGAATGGGCTGTCCTCCCTCCTTCCATTAACGTTGCTGCAATTCCTGAAGAGGCGATGGCGAGAGCAACTTCTCCCTGCGCCCTGATTTTGGTGACAATTAAATTAGTTAAAAATGTTTTCCCTGTGCCCCCAGAAGAGTCAAGAAAATTACTACTGTGTTAAAAATGTCTGGACAAAATATAATTTCTAATGTTGGATTTTCCCCCTTACCAGAGGGAGCCCCCTTGTGGAGTACTGTGAAGCCATTACCATGGCAAATCCACTGCGATGTACAGTAGAAACCATTTTAAGGCACAACAGGCTGTATCTTAACATAACACACACACGCCCGAGGGTTTTTAGTGGTATCTTACCCACACAGTATTTGTTTCGAGAGAGTAAGTCATCTGTGTACCGAGTTTGGTTGAAATTGCTTGAGGTGTTCCAGAGTTATGCTGGAACACACACACACACACACACACACACACACACACGTATGTATGAGTTGGCAATGCTATGATAATGGAAGAGCCTTTTTTGAGCAGAGGACGTTTTGACTATGCCTTTGAGAGGAATAGTATGTTTCAGAGACCACAAAAGGAAATGGCATATAAAGAATCACCCAGATAATAGTTACAGGAGGGTCACAAGTGTTGTGAATTTTCATGGCAAATGATTAGAGAGCATAGCGCAGTTCAGCCCCATGGTAACATGGTAACAAAGATTTATCCTGAGACATCCAGAAAATGCCATGGGTTCTGCTCTGAAAAGCTTTACAGGAGCATGGCCTATTTGTTTTTGAAATTGCCCTCTGTCGTCCCTTGATTTATTTTTATCTTCCCATTTTTAATGGTGTATCAAATGACTTTGAGTGTTTCCCACCCTTGACAGTTTGAAGATGTGTGGACTTCAACTCCCAAAATTTCCCAGCTAGCATAATTGGCTGAGGAATTCTGGGAGTTGAAGTCCACACATCTTCAAACTGCCAAGAGTGAGAAACACAGATGTAGATTACGCCTCTTTCAATTTGTGAAGGAGACAAGAATCTAATGACAGTTGTAGGCTCACCAGCTAGATGTATAGCTGGGTGAAGATTTGAATCGAAATCATCCAGATCCTGGTCAAACACATTACCCACTGAAGCACATCACCCTTTCTAATCCACCTGTATTCTTTATACCTGCAGCTGCTCTGGAATATCTTAAAAATCACCCTGTGGATCCCATTAATACAGCAGACTTCGACAGAGAATGTGGCATTGGCGTGGTCGTTACACCGGAACAGATTGAAGAGGCAGTAAGTTTCAGTCCTATACGGAGGCCAAAAATAAAACAATCTCCAGGTGAATAATTCCACAGAGCCGTGGTGGCACAGTGATTAGAATGCAGTACTGCAGACTACTTTTGCTGACTGCCAGTTGCCAGCAGTTTGGCAGTTCGATTCTTACCAGGCTCAAGGTTGACTCAGCCTTCCATCGTTCCGAGGTTGGTAAACCGAAGACCCAGATTGTGGTGGCAATTGGCTGACTCTGTAAACTGCTTAGAGAGGGCTGGAAAGCATTGTGAAGCGGTATATAAGTCTATAAGTGCTATTGCTATTTATAACAGGGCCATTCCTAACAAACCCTGCCATATGCTTCTGACATGGCAAGCGAGGAATAAGCCAAGGCTCCTGGTGTAAGGTACAGATAATCCTCGACTTACAGCCATTCATTTAGCCGCCGTTCAAAATTATAGTGCACTGAAAAAAGTGACTTAAATCCGGTCCTTGCACTTATGGCTGTTACAGCATCCCTATGGTCACGTGATCAATATTTGGGCACTTGGCAAACAGCCTATATTTACAGCAGTTGCAGCATCTGGTGTGTGTGTGTGTGTGTGTGTGTGTGTGTGTGTGTGT